CTTATGATGTCTTTGGGATTAAGGTTCATAAATAAATTTGGAATAGAATGAATAATCATTGACTATTTTTTCTTATTTTGAAAAAATAAATTGTTAAAACTTCTAAACATAGTTGTCAGAAAGTTTGGACTAGTGTTTATAGAGATGTAGTTACAGTCTAGGGGTGTAAACGAGCCGAGCCGACTCGTGAGCTCGAAGAGCCGGCTCGTAAAAAGCTCGAACTCGAACTCGAGATTTTCGAGCTCGAGCTCGAGCTTTCTGACGAGCCGAGCTCGAGCCGGTTTTCAGTTGTTCATGAGGTCGCGAGCCGGCTCGCGAGCCGGATTTATTATTAATTTTTTTATTATTTTATTATTTTTTATATGTTATTTTATTTAAATAATGTATAATAATGTAAAATATTATAGAAATAAATACAAATATTAAAAATATATATAATTACAATTTAGTTTTTATTTTTTATTTTTTTAAATAATTTTTAATAATAAAATAATAATTAAAAAAATATTTAAAAAAAAAAAAAAAAGACAATGGGCTCGAGCTCGACAAAATTGACACGAGCTCGAGCTCGAGCCAAAAAAAGAAGAGCTCGACGAGCTCGAGCTCGAGCTCGACAAAATAAACTCGAGCTCGAGCTCGAGCCAGCCAAAAAAGGCGAGCTCGGCTCGTTTACACCCCTACTACAGTCTATGAAATACTACACATGGTGTAATATATTGAGTCATTTACTGGTTTTGAACTATAAATCTATAAAAACAAGCAAATAACAATCACTAAAGATATTCATCTGGTTCAAGATTGCTCAGTGTATTTTTACCGATTGCAGCATCTGCAAAAGTAATAACCGCGTTACTGTTTTACTGCGGACTCGGAGAATCCACGCGGGATTAATTCATTTTTTTAAAGTTTGAAACGTGGAAGGTGTGCATTGGAATTATTTATTAGAAAATTTTAAAATTAATAATAATAAGTTAATTTATTTACATTGGAGGGTCCAGCTAGTATGCACCGTCCATGTGTTGGGGTTCATGGTGATGTATATTTTATAAATATAAATATTTACATTTCTAAGCGTCTCGTTTAATAAAAATAAAAATAAAATACAACACTTGACAATTATTATATAATATATATTTGATTTCTCTTGCACATCACAAAGATAGATATATAGAAGACGAGAAACATGTGAAGTGAAAGTCAGTGGACCACCATTAGAAATTCGCTGGTTTTAAATATGTCAAACAGTTTTGTATTTAGAGATGTAAACGAGCCGAACTTGCTGTTTTGGGTGACCATGAGCTCGAGATTTTTGAGTATTTCTTTTTTGGGCTCAAGCTCCCACTTGAACTCAAGTGAGCCGAGCATGTCGAGCTCGAGCCTAAGCCTGAGTGTATATTTTTTTTAATATTTGTTAATATTATTAGAATTTTATTATTATAAAGTAATAAAAAAACGAAATAAAACATAACCTGTAATTTTTTTAATTATGTATACGCATTTATTATTTAATTTTCTATTAATTATATTTAAAATAAAAAATAAAGTAATATTTTTAAAACAAAACTCACGAGCGTCGAGTCAAACTAAGAATGAACTTAAACTCGTAGAAAGCTCGAGATCAAAAAAATCGAGATTGAGTTCGAACTTTTATCGAGCCGGCTCATTTACACCCCTGTTTGTATTAATTATAGTACGGCCTACTTGTTGACTAGCTAGCCTGTGACATTTTCTGGCCCACAATAATAAATACAAATGAACCTCAAGAAAAATATATATAATACAACTAGAATATCTCTCCCACTAATTATCTCTCTATAAATTATTTCTTTCAGAATTAATATTTGAAATTAATGAATTTTAAGGACTAAATTGAAACAAAAGAGTGGTTCCAAGATTTTTGGAACTATAAAGTAGCAACAAATAATTTGAAATACAGCAATTCTCGAAAATGATAAACAAATTACAGAAACAGAGCAAGTAACAAAATGGGCTGAAAATCTCTCTTTAGCAGTTGCCATCCTGCTATCAGATAATATCTAAGTATTGCTTAGATATTTTCCGCAACAAATGCACTCAACGGATAACTAGAAAACGACAGATCGAGAAAGACATTAGATCCTACAAAAATTGAATTTATGAGAAATAGGGGCGTAATCTAGAGGAGAAACAGCGTTAAATTTACAAGATAATCACATAATTATGATCTAGAAAAAGCGATATTAATTCAGCAGAGAAACTTATAGGTATAGCTGGATGAGCTCGTCGCTTACTACAGACGGTGTTAAAACACCCAAATCTGTAAAAAGCAAAGTGAGATACTGTGGTGGCGTATAATCCCGAGCAGATGTCTCAACCTCGACCATCGATGGAATCGGTACCCCGAAATCAATGGGCCGTAATGCGGGCTCCATATCCTTTTGATCCAACGGATAGAGTCGAGCAAACTGCAAGAACAACCAATATAGTTTGTCTTTTCAATTTAGATATTTTGGTACGATGTATTAGTGATGAGAAATGAGGAAAAAAAAACTTCTGAGCATTTTGATTACCTTGTAACTTTCAGCAGCACAATAAACTGGTTTATTCATGCTTTTAGCAACCAGTGCAATTTGGTAGGTACCCATCATATTTATTATACCTCCACTTTCGACTACACCATCTGCTCCAACGAAAACCATGTCCACGTCATCCATGCTATACGCCACAGCCGAATCTATCAACAGCTTAACAGGAACATCAAGTTTCGCGAGCTCGTTGGCTAACCTTAAACCTGTCCTGTCTGGCCTCCCTTCTGCATTTCGTTGGACATCTAACATTAGATATCGTGCAACTAAAACATGTCAAAGCAATAAAGGGTCGTTGCAAATTCTAATAACAGGACGCATGTGTATAAGCATTGATGTAATAACAGAATCACAAATTAAACCATATAATCACTAGTGTTTTGGACGGGGTACTACTATAGCCATTTCAAGAACGGATGTGTGAAAAAGCTGCATACATAGGATATTCTTTTTTTTCTTCGCCTTAACTATAAATTGATACAACTTTATAATTTGAAGAAAAGTTTAGAACAGATTTTCGGGGTATTCAGATCTTGCAGAGAAAAACCACATTAATCATGTGATACAGCTTTATAATAGGACAGTGGTGCAGAGAGGATATGACCTGTGCAGAAAACTCGAAATAGTTTTTTACTCTGAGCTGCAGTTCTCAAAATCTCAAACACAACCCGTGAGAAGCCATGCACCAAAATGGTGCAACCATCGAAGACAAAATCTTGCCCAAGACTTGCAATTATCCTCCGAGCCTGACATAAGAAATGTAGTAAACAAGAAGAACGGCAAAAAAAACTACGACTGCAAAATAATGAGCCAATGGGTACCTTATAAGATATATCACCAAACTTGTCGGCGCGTTCCATAAGTCGGGACTTTGCTGAATTGAAGTCTTCATATTCCAAAGCAGAAGTTCTCGTCACGTAGCGCATGAAGAGATCGCATCCAGCTGTTAAAGAGATAGAGGTAGTATCCCATGACTGCATCAAAAAACGTAGTTCGAAAAATTAGTCCATATTCACACATTCTTCAGTTAAGTGGTTGATTGACATCACTTCATTCGCCACCCAACTTATAGATTAGGGAGAAACAACAATTGAACACGACAGTCAAACACCTAAGTGAAATAACTATAATCAATTCTTCATTTTCTCAACCAGACAAAGATCTTGTTGAAAACTATTTCGAGACACCAAATCTGGGGGCATGTAATAACACTTCACAGCATTTGATGCTTCATTATCTTTGAATTTTTAATCAACATACGAAAGTAATAACCCTCAGCTCAAGTTGATGACAGATAGTAAACAAACTACCGCGAAGGCATTGCCCGAGTGGTATTGGGGTGGGGAGGGTAGTATTATGTCAAGGGATAGATCGTAAACAAACTGGATTCAGATTTCATGGATTTATAAGAAGCCATTTCCACCAAAGACGAACTCTAACTTTACACACCGTTGAACTGAAAGGAAATTAGCTTCCCATGAAACGAAATATTAGCACCAGTTTATCAAAACGAGGCGGATAGGAAGAATATACAAATGGAAGTAATTTTCATATTTGAGTTGACTGGTACATTTACAAACTTCTATCCTGCAAATTTTAGTATTCAGTTGTTTATATCTCAATTCTCAACAGTTTTCAGCTTCTCATTCTCGATTAATTTGATCAAGGAAAACAGGTATGATTTAAAAAGATGCTAGCATCTTTAAAGATGATATCTCTGGCTTTTCGATATCATCTGCATTACGGTTTAGCAACACATTTTCATGCAATATATAATAGGATAGATTTATTCATCTATTAGGTATCAACAATTTGAAGCCCTACAATTCAAATTTGTTGACATTTTTCACCAAGTCTAATTTAGAGAGCTCGATTCCACAATCAAGGCACATAACAGAAATATATATTAAAAAATTAGAAAAAAAAAAAAAAAAAAGAAAAAAAAAGAGGAAAATGAATCGCTTACTTTAAGCGAATCAGCTGCTTTTTTCAGCTCAATTTCAAGCTCCATCATCGTAGTAGCTTGACTCGATCGAATAACCGAAGCCAAAGACCTAATCGCAGCGACAGCCTCCGCCAAGTCCGGCTGTTTCCGCCAATTATTAAACTCATCCACCACGCTAAACCCCTTGCGGTCGTCCTCACCGCCAGATACATAATTCTCCGAAACTGCACCGTCGGGGTGGCCACCAGCGGCGGCCTTAGACTGATCCAGCCAGTCACTCGTCACGACGCCGTGGTGGGCGGCGCGCGTTTGGTAGTAGAGGGATATCTTAGGGTTAGGGTTTTCAGCGGCCATGGCGGTGGAGGAAGGGGAGAGAGGGCGGCTATCGGCGTTGGTCACGGTGTCGCCTTGCTGCTGCTGCTGCTGCTGTAGCTGCCGCTTCTCGAGGATGAAAGACGCCGATCTACGCCACATCTGTAATCTGATTTAAGGGTTATCGGAGAAGGGGTTTTGATGATAATGGCGAATTTTGTGCGATAATTGGGAATGAAGAAATTGTTTAGTGAGGTTTAGGGGTTGATTATTTCTTTAATTGTTCTTATGGTTCTCGCTTAATACACATTTTGACCTAGAACTAATTTTCACCCTTTGTTGAATTTATTCATTTTAGAATCTATACTATTGATATTAGTGCTTCATTTTTTTGTTTTTTGTTTTTTTTTTTTGTTTTTTTTTTTTTGGAGAGGGTAATCTTTTTTATTACTCATTATTTTCTTTAGTGGCTCTTTGAGAAAACCCCCTCGCTACTTTTTTTAATGGAGGGGAGGCCCAAAATATTTTAGTCCATTTGAGAAAAGTCCACACCCATTTTCAACTATTATGTTTTCCAGCTTTGCCACCGCCCACCACATCATCACTGGGTCACGCGCTCAGCGATTTTTTTTTTTCCGTGTTTTTTACCGTCTTTTCTGTATCAGTTTCCTTAATCGACTATAAAACATAGTCGATTAGCCTTAATCGACTATGCTTCATAGTTGATTAAGGAAATTATTTAATTTTTTAATATTTTTTGTTTTTTAAATTTATTTTATATCAGGTATATTAATCGACTATGATGTGAAGCATAGTCGATTAAGAATCTGCTACTAAAAATAAGAAATCACAACTGCGACAAAAATACAAAATCAACTATATATTACAAACACAAAAAATATACAAATATTATAAATGATTTATACAATTGGAATCAATAAACAAAAAAATCAAAAAAAATAAAAAAAATTGGAGTCGATCAACCTTAATCGATTGCCAGAGCATAGTCGATTAGCTTAATCGACTATGAACATGTACATAGTCGATTAAGGTTTCAGCATGCGCGAAATTCTCTACCGGCGCCGTCCTCCGCCCGGTCCACAAAAAAACCCTAAATCTGCCTCCCCATCGTCACCACACCGCCGCCACAACACACCATCACCATCTTACTTTGACATTATGACAGTTTTTTTATTACAAATAAATAAATAAAAGCACAACTTGCACCACCAACCAAAGCAGAACAACCAGCCATCAAAATTAGATTCCGGCGACAAATCGACAATCTTATCTCTATTCGCCTCCGATGTAGCATTCCTGACATTCGAATTCAGAATCGCTATCAAATTATAATGTTTGATGGGTGCTTCATCTTCTTTCTTTCTCCATCTCCCCGCGGCGGCGACAGTGACGGAGAAGTCACGGAGAAAACAGAGGAAAAAAAACAAAGAATAAGAGAAAAGAGAGAAGAAGAGAAACGTTGGAGCGTGAAAACGGCGGATGAAAAAATAAAAGTAAGATTGGGGTTTTGAAAGAGTATAATAGACAATTAAGGGTAATTTTGGAATTATGAAAATATCACATGGGTGGAATATTAGCTAAGGGGGTTTTCTCTAATTATTTTTGGGAGGAGGTGTTTTCTTAACTCATTTTCCTAGATGAGGGGGTTCTTGCTAATTATTCATTTTCTTTATGTATGTATATACTAGTGTATTTATTTTGAAAAATCGGATTGTAAATCGAAAATTCCAAATATTTTTTATATAATCTCAATTCCAATCCATAAAAATCGAAAGATATCGAAAATCGGAATGAAAAATTGTTCCGAAATTTGAAAACTTTAAATCACAACCGACATAAATTGAAAAATCCGTTCCAACTTTCGCCTCTACTTCCATCTAATTAAATATTGACGCTTTAAGTGAAGTCCACAGTAAGGGTGTAAATGAGCCGTGCCGGCTCGACAAAAGCTCGAACTTAAACTCGAGCTTCTAATAAGTCGAGCTCAAGCTTGTTTTTTGTGTCCGTGAGCTTGCGAGCCGAGCTTTTTTTTTTTATAATTAATTTAGGTATAATTAATATAAAATAAATAAGAAAATCATATAAGAAATTTAAAAAAATAAATTACATGTATTTTTTCGATTTTTTAAATTATAATTTATAATATAATTAATAAAAAAAACACAAAATGACTCGCTCGCTCGCTCATAACAACAATACACGAAGAACTCGAGCTCGGGTCGTTACACCCTTACTCCATGATGCTGTGTATTTTCTTTCTTTTTCTCTTTTTAACTCTTTAATTAAGTATTAACTAATTAATTGGGCCGCTCTAAATTACAATAGACTCGAAATGAAATTATGAAGTCTAAAAGGGCCGAGCACAAAGGCCCACTAATATTAATCTGCATTTTTCTTGTCCTCAACTCAATAACATTTAATTACTTACCTAGATTGGAACATACTAAAACCTCGAGAAATTAATAACTTCTTTCAAATAATTTTTTTCAAGAAGAATGCACTAAATTAATATTTCGTTAAATTAATTGAATTTGTTTGATCTCAATTTTAACTGTATTAATACAATGATTTGCTGTTTGTCTGAATTTCCAAGAATTTATATAGTAAGATCGAAAACAAATAATATAAATCTAGGACAGATGCAACAAATTCTTCTCATGTCAAAATTATGTTAATTAAAAGTATTTGATCACATATACATACACATATATATGGTCTCATAATTTGTGGTGAATGAGACCAAAAACAACAACCAAAGCTGTAACAAGAGAATGATCAATATTTGGCTCCACCACCATTGTCAACACATCTTCTCCAAGAACTACTCCACTTGCACTTATCTTTCTCTTTACCTTCACATTATTAACATATACATACATTATACATACACACATAATACATATATATGATATATATATATATATATATTGTAAATTAATAATTCTATATTATATTAATTAATTACCTCAGCAACAAGCCCTCCGAAAGTGTCGATTATTCTGCAAGAGGCCTTCGAAACCTGAGTTTCCATTATGTAATTAACGTATTCATCGTCGCAGTTAGGCCGGTTCGTACCATTCGGTAATTTACTAACATGTACAGCAACCTTGTAAGAAGAGTATCCTCTAAGAAACCCTAGAAGAATATTTCTGATTCCAACGAGTTTTCTCACGCGAAAACCGGGCCCCCCCTTGTCTGTATTCACACCGTCGCTCGATCTGTAGCCATTCCACAGCCCAAGCACCGAAAATTTCTGATCGAAAATTAAATATAACAAAATTAATACCTATCAAAATTAAAACAAAAATATGGAAAAATATAATTTACCTTTTTAACAAGAGTGAACAAGATATTGCCTTTGGGATCCATGACGTGGACTTTGTCGAGCCGTTTGTGGTCGTAGTTATCGACCCGGTACACGATCCGCCCGTTCGAATCGAACACGGCACAGCCGTTACTGCTGAGGATCAACGACTTCATCCACACGGTGAAGACTTCTTGTTTCGATGAAGTTGATGAAGGAGCAACTAATACTTGTGGGTGCACTTTTGCCATTAATGTATTTATTTAGGTTATATTCTTTGCATAGGGAGTGATGATTCTCTCTTGTATATATATAGATACATATAATTTAGTTTATGAAAATCACAGACACCAACATGTGTGTGTGCGTGTTTTTATATATGTAACATGAATAAAGAAGCCCGCAAGTTGAGGAAAATGTAAATCATCTGTTTGTCTTACATGACCTAATTACATATATATATATATATATATATATATATATATATATATATATATATATATATATATATATATATATATATATATATATATATATATATATATATATATATATATATATATATATACGGAGAGAGAGAGAGAGAGAGAGAGAGAGAGAGAGCGCATCAATATTTCAGTTAGGTAAATCTAGCCAGTTCAGAAAAAGGAATACAATATAGATTAGATATTCCTTTATTCATAGATTAGAACCACTTTACAAGTTGTTTATTATTGAGAATGTAATTAGTTTTGTATTATTGTGTGTATCAATTAATATTTGGAAAGCAAATATATGATATTCCTTTTGTTGTCATGATTTTTGTCATGCATTGTTTGGACATGGTATCATCCACGTAAGCAGAATGATGTAAAGTGTAAACTAATAACCACCAATATATTTGGCTTTTGTTATATTCCTATTCCTATATATCCACCCTTATGAACAGTTTAAAGGGCAGTTGCGAGATACGAGAGTAAATTTTAATAAATAAAATAATTAATTAGAGGGCAGATGTGAGAGTGAGTTGAAATTATGTTCGTTGTTTGAGCTCGCCGTGTGTTTGATCTTTGTGTGGGATTCAAACATCGGATCGTTTTATTTTGGGAGGGGAATAGATTGTTGCACATTCGACAGTCAGAGAATATAATTTTAAAGGAATTGTTTCAGCACGTCTCAATCTATTTTCTTCGGGATTCACAATTCAATGACATCAATGATTTTGAATGTGATTAATGTCGTTTCAGTTTCAATAGCAACGTTTCAACTTTGAATGTGTTTTTGATCATTTTCTAATCTAAATTTAGCATAACTCAAAACGTGAAATCTTTAGTTCTCTAAGTTAGCTTTCTAATTCAACCAGAATCAACAAAATTGGATGTTGGATGAGAAAGATACTCATAAATTAATGAGCATTGCCCACAACTTTGATGTTTTGGGTTATTTAAAATTCAACATCTAATCCATTTATGCATAACTTTACTATCCGAAATCCAATTTAGCAGATTCAAGTTGAAATACAAAACGAACTCAAAGGACTACATTTTCCGTGTTTTGAATTTTGCCAAAATCAAACTAAAAAAAGAGTCAAACCACGAAGTCAAAACAAAACTAATAAATTAATTAAAACGACATTTAGCATTTTAAAAGGATGGAAATCACGTTTTTATTGTTCATCAAATGCAGCGGTGTCATTGTGATTCAAGTAGAACATGACCTTCTTGACCCATCATTGGAAGAATTGGCCATTGAAGCGACATTGTCGATTGAGCTCGTTTGTTCCAGCATGGGCAGTGGAAGTGACAACAGAAGCAAGCCTCTCTATTAATTAGAAATGAAAATTTCATCTTAAATTGTTAGAAACCTGCTACTGAAAATTATCAAGAACTTGTAGAATGGGCAAAGTGACGCGCGTATTAGGTGACTGACTCGATATCTGTCAGAGTAATATATTCGATCATTCTATAGAATTAATATCTTAAATTGTGTTAAGTGTGTTGGATAATGAGAAGAAACACTTTATTTTATTTTATTTTATTTATTTATGTTTTAGAGAAATGAGAAGTAACCCTTAATGGGGCTCAATTTGGTTGGAGAAGTTATGATATATTCACAAACAATAAAATTCCAGTTGGGCCACAATAGATTATTTGGGCCAATATTTGAACCAAATTCCAGCTGGCCCGGATGACAGTTATTATTTTTTTATTCATTTTCTTTCTACTTTTAATAATAATAATAAAGTAAATGAAATAATATTTGATAGAACAATGACAATTGATCTCGTCATAAATTAAATAACAACTATACAAATAACTTGGTACAAAAATACTACTAAATCTTCCCTATTTTAAAATTATAAATATGATTATTAGTTTTGTCGATAACGGATATTATATTAAGTATATTTTTGCGCGGTGTAATCATGATTATTTTACGTCGTTTTGAAATGTAGTAAAATATTTGAAAATAACTTAATTATTAGCAATTATGATTAAGACATTAATGTTCTTTTAAAATTATTGTTCAATTTATTGTTAACATAATTTTTTAAATACTATGCTTGGTGATAGGCTTAATTCCACTTTGCACCCTTGAAATATACCATTTTGGCACTTTGCACCCTCGAAATAAATTAATAGCACTTTGCACCCTCGAAATACAATAAATCATGCATAATGCACCCCAAATGATTTTTTAAAGCTAAAAAATATAAATTTAATATTTGTAGTGATATTTTTTTAGGATGCCAAATGTCAAATATTTTTTTTATTCATCAATCATTTGAAACTATAAAGTTCAAAAATAAAAAATACATTCCATCAACAT